CGCAGATGGAAAAAATCCAATCTCCAAGTCCATTACCTCAGTCTGAAGGATTTATTAATTAACTACAATAAATGGTTAAGGATGCGAGAACACACTATTTTTCTGAACTCATTACTACACATAAACACAATCCCAGGTTTCCGTTTAAGACTGTGGATCAGCTGGTAAACCCAACCCATCCTTGTGCCTCAGCTGGAAGTAATGATGACTGTGAATTGTTTTTATCTTATTTTACCAATAAGGTGGTGTCAATCAGAGCCTCTATTACCCCCACGACCTCTTACTCAGAGGTTCCTCACCAGCAACAACAGAGTTTTAACCAGTTTTATCCCATCGACTTGTCTGAGCTTTTAAAAACAATATCACAAATGAGAGTGTCCTCCGGCCCACTTGATATAATACCTACAAAATTTGTACTAAAAGTAATAGATTCTGTTGGGCCCCATTTGATCTCTGTTTTCAACAGCTCCCTATCTACTGGTTGTGTCCCTGATTATTTTAAAACGGCTTGCATGAACTCACTTTTAAAGAAACCTGGTTTAGATCCCTCCCTCCCACAAAATTTTAGACCAATTTCAAAACTGCCTTTTATTGCAAAGATTCTAGAAAGAATTGTGTCCAAACAGCTGCTCACTGTGCTGGAAAATAACAAAATATTTGAAAAGTTTCAGTCTGGTTTTAGGAAGTACCACAGCACTGAGACTGCCCTGCTTAAAGTCACCAATGACCTTTTAATGTCTGCTGATGAAGGCATGTGCTCAGGCCTAGTACTCCTGGACCTTAGCGCTGCTTTTGACACCATTGATCACAACATCATGTTAGACAGACTGAGGCACTGGGTGGGGATCTCTGGTACTGCTCTAGAATGGTTTTCATCCTACCTGTCAAATAGGAAGTTTTGCGTGTCTGTAAACAACTATGTCTCTTCATTCTGTCCAGTTAAATATGGTGTGCCTCAGGGGTCGGTCTTAGGACCCATTTTGTTTTCCTTGTATCTGCTTCCCCTTGGACATATTATCCATAAACATGGCATTTCTTTTCATATTTATGCTGATGACACACAAATATACTTGCCCGTCAGATCCACAGACCCTGGAATGCTGAGTTCACTTAACAACTGCCTTTGTGAAGTTAAAAAATGGATGTCAAATAATTTCCTCCAGCTGAACTCAGACAAAACAGAAATCCTGGTCATCGGGTCCCAGCAGATGGCAGTCAAATACTGCCAGCTGGTTCCCTAGTAAATCACATTAAGCCTGTGGCAAAGAACCTTGGTGTTTGGTTTGATAGTAATTTAAATTTCGAGCAGCACACCACAAAGCTTGTTCAATCATGTTTTTATCAACTTAGAAATATAGCAAAAATTCGATCTATGTTAACTTTTAAGGACACCGAGACCATTTTACACGCCTTCATCTCATCACGCCTGGATTATTGCAACAGCCTTTTCACCTGTTTAACCCAAAAATCTATTGATCGACTCCAGACTGTCCAGAACTCAGCTGCCAGGCTTTTAACCAGAACAAAGAAATATGAACACATTACTCCTATTTTAGCTTCATTACACTGGCTCCCAGTATGTTTTAGAATTGACTTTAAAATTCTATTGATCACTTTTAAAGCTCTTCATGGCCTCTCGCCTTGTTATATTTCTGACCTTTTAGTCCCATACGCACCAGCACGTACCTTGAGATCCTCGGGCAGAGGTCTGTTGTCTGTTCCAGAGTCTCGACTGAAAACTAAAGGGGACAGAGCGTTTGCTGTCAGGGCCCCGAGGCTCTGGAACAGCCTGCCCGAGGAAATCAGGTCGGCTGAGTCAGTGAACTCTTTTAAGTCCCTTCTTAAAACATACTTTTATAGGAGAGCTTTTCCCGATCTTATTTGACTTTATTTTATCCCTTTTATTTTATTGTATTTTACTAATTTTATATTAAATTTTCATGCTCTTATCTTTTTTTTGTATTATTCTTTACACTTGTTAAAGCACTTTGTAACTTGTTTTTGAAAGTGCTCTACAAATAAGGATTATTATTATATATATTATTGTACAAACCTGTATGTCGGTGATGCTGTAAATCTAAAGACAATATATGAGGATTAATGTTTCCAAAATATTAACCTGTCTGTATTTTAAACCTACAAAACTGAGGACATTTTGTATGGATAATGACTATTATATGGATTCAGACTGTATGTTTCATTCTTCCTGGCAGGATCATCTCTCCGAGGAGATACAGCAGCACGTCCACAAGCCAGATTCAGAAAATGAGGTGAACACGATTTACTGCCAACTTTCCCACAAACCCCTCTGCCTTGCTGCATTACTCTGTGAGACACTGATCCTCAAACCCAGCTCTGCTGCCTGACAATATTCTCCTGTGACTTATAGGATTCACTCTTCATCCACATTGTTTGAGTCACCATGGTTTTAACTGGACTTTGGGACTTGTTGGGTCAGATGTGCGACCAGGCTGGGCAGGTTAAGCCTGGTCCCCACCTTCACCAGCTTTATAACCTTATTTCAAAAAATACTCTATTAACTTCCCACAATAGTCAATAAATTTGCAGACAAAAACTTCTCTGGAGACGGTCAAGAGTCGGTGCAAAAGAGTTTATTCCAAAACAGGACAAATAAACCAGCAACATCCCAGCAGGCCGGAGGATGAAGTCAATCCTATGGTCTGCAGACAGTCTTATATATATATATCTTCTGGGCTGGTTCGCCCCTCCATGAACTTCTTTTCCTCTGTTATTGGGTTGTTTTTACCAATTAACACTGTTCCCCAGCTGTCATTTATTACTGTATTGTTGACTTTCTACATCTTTATGCTACTGGATAAGAAGTTCATCATTTACATTTCAACTTCAGTCTCGCCGTATTTTCTAAAGGTTACGCATGCTTAATTTGACACACAATTATATTTTTTAAACAATTAATATAAGAATAACATAAGTAAAGTTGCATTTTTCATTAATGCTTGGTTTCTTACAGAAATCTTGATGTTATGCTGGCTGGTTTCTGCTTATTATCTCTCTGTTGGTGTTTTTATCAAGCATCTGATGGTTTTTGGTCATCCTCTGACGCTTTTTTGCAAAGCATGAATTCCTTCAGCAAGTTCACTCAAAGTTCACACAGGTTATAATAACCAGAGGTTGGAAGTTGACAATCAAACCTCTTAATCAGTAATTACGCAATAGTCTTAATATTAGCAGATTAACACATCAGCAGTTCCTCGTGTAATCACAACAGTAGATAACAACAGAACGAAGCATGCGCTGTCACAGTGTCAGCAGATCTTGCACACCTGCAGCCTCTCCTATGGTCATAATCTACAGTAGATGACAGTTGGACAAGGCGAACCACCTGCAGCCACTTCCTGCAGTCATTCCTCCCACTCAAGAATCTAACCACACTTGTTTCTGTGTTCACTGACTATAGTTCACTGCTTATAAGTAAAAACCGAAGCACATCTAGGTAAAAAGAAAAATGATTAAGAATGATTAATGATTAATACTAATAAAATGATTAAAAATGATGATATAAGAATGATTACTTATTGATTAAAGTAACTGATAGACAGGAAATTCTTACTGTCTTGATGTTTGTTTTGTAACACAATTTTCACTAATTCTGCTTCTGCATTTTCCTTTGCTGGGGTTTTCGACAATGCCTTGCTGTGCTCATTCTGCTCCCAAAGCACACATGCCTGCTTACACACACTGATAACAATTTAGGCTATGATGTTCTAAAATAATTCGCAACCCATCAGACTGATCTGTAATGACTAGATGAGTCTGGTTCTTTGTCTTTGCTCCTGAAGCTCGGCTTGTAAACAGTTTAAATCCATATTACAGCTCATTGTCATCCGCTGATTTAACAAGAAATATTTGAATAAATAAGTTTGATGTTTTAACTTTCGTCATTTCATAGTTTGTCCACCAGCGACATGACTGTAAGGACTGTAGATCCCCCTCAGGATGAATTGTAATAACTGGTTTTCATCTGGTGTCATCGTGAGATGAAATGTTAATTTGTCCAATACTTTATGATCAAATATCTGCACAACTAATGACATTCCCATTTGTCTTGTATAGTAAAAGCTGTAATGGAACGAGGGGTGTTATGCTTCATACTGTTAAAATTACACAGTACAAAAAGACAAATCATTAAAATGTTGTTGATTATTTACCACACTGGAACAACTGTCTCATCATTTAATTGTTTAACAGTAAATTTACTGAATGCAGGGTTTTATTGTTTTTATTTCAGTGCCATCTGGTGGAAATATCAAGACTGATACATGTTGGGAGATGACAATGCATTACCCTGTTTTCACCAAGACTCTTTTCTTTCTATGGAAAAACATGCCCTTAAAATAAACTGAAACATTCTACTCTCTATCACATAAAAATCTACAAATGCTAAAAATGACCTATTCAACTTCCACATCATCTAGTCACCTGTGCACATCGTAAAAGAAATTACTCATTCTTTTGAACAAATTACAAATGCTTTGATACATTTATGCAAATGATTATGTACAATTGTGTGTTTCCTCTCAATTGCTTATGTCATGATGTTGTGATGTGCAGAATAATCTGTGGCCCGACAGACAGGAACATCGGCCTACAGGGTGCTTCCCATTTTCCACTTCTAAATTCTGTACTTTTTTCTGTTTTACAATGCAGCGTTGGCTAACTGTGACAATATGCTGCAATAACACCAGTGAAATAAATAAGAAAAGGAGGTTTGGTGCTTTTTGTAAGTATCTGCCTCAAATTAACCAATCATTATTTTAGAAATGTGATAGCCATCTACATGGACGAATCCCCCCGCGATAGTCTGTCACGCCTTAGAGTTTATTAATGTACTTTTTGAACAAAGTATGGAAAGTTACCCTGGCAATAAACCTCATTCTGATTCTGATTTTGATTTTGTTCACGAGGACCAGGCCTGCTGATATGTTGACTGATGTCAGAAAGTGCAGAGACAAACGGTTTGTGAACAAGCCTCACTTAAACAGAGTGGATCACCGGCAATCTGCTGGGACTGACAGTATTAATGCTCATAATATACAAAACCAAAGTGAAAGGAAGAGGAAGAAGATTAGAAGTTGTGATGGTTCACATCTCAGGAAACGGTCGGTGTAGAAACCTCTGATCAACCAACCATTGAAAAGAGGAACTGACAAAACCAACTGGAGTTCAACCGAGGATTTTTCGCATCCAAGATCAACAAAATGAGGAGCTTTCTTCTTCTTCTTCTCTCACTGATGAAAGGTAAAAATATTTCTGCTGCCTAATTCCTGATATTAGACATTTTAATAGAAAACAGTTGCACCTCTTCAGAAATTAACTAGTTTCAATACATCCTGTGTGTGACTTAAGCTACAATTTTTGTACCTCTTCACTTTAACACAGGTCACAGTAGTATTGGTTCATAAAGCAAAACCAACAGGGTCAAATAACTGTCTGCTACATTTAATACTCATTTAAACATATTTTCTGCCTCTCACTGAGTAATTTGGCTGACAACAGTGATACAATCTACAGTCTGTTAATAAAAGGTTACTACACAGGTAGCCTGGTTGTTGTGATTTCAAGTGAATATGCAGCTATGTTTGAATTTGATACAACATCAATTGTTTTTGACAATTCAAACACACGTAAACACAGTTTGCTGATATTGAATATGGATAGAACAAAAAATTTGACTTACTGTAGAGTCTACTCCTTAAAAGCAGAGAAAACACAAGCAGAAGTGAAAGTAAGGTACGGCTACTTTTGGCCATTTTCATTTGTGGAAAAATGGCCCGAATGTTCAAAACGGCCAAACAAGAACCAAACTACTGATAACATTTCAAGCTGCTTTAACTGTGGCAGCAATATTCAGAAATGGACAAATCAAGCAGAAACACACGCATTCATTTTTGAGTGGAGTGTCTGGTCACCTGAACAACATAAGCCCCTGTATTTACTCTTATTTTAGCTCATTAGCTGCCACATGCTCCACTGTCACCACCAATTAGAGGCTAACATTTTTTATCTGTTGTTTGCTGCTGGACAGGTACAACCCCATTAAAAACAACAACAACAAAAAAACTGGCACGCTGTGTTACGAACCTCCAGTGGAAGGTCCACGCTGTGTGAACTGTAAAAACAAAATGTGATGATGTGCAAAACACTGAAACCTCGTATTTAATTGAAAATAGCGACAACTTATCAAATGTTGAAACTGGGAAACACTTTTCAAAAAAGTTGTGACAGTGGCAACAAAAGAATGGAAATGTTGTGAAATGATAAAAGAAAACATCTCACAATAAATTAGGCCAGCTTGCAACAAGTTAGTAACTGATGTATAGATGGTTAGGGGTTCATCCCTCTGTGAAAGACTGTGCTGGCAGTTTAAGAATAATTTTTCTCAATGTAAAATTACAAATAATCTGGGGAATTTGTTGCCTAAAGTACATCATACCATTAAAATATTCAGAAGAAATCTCTGTGCACAAGAGTCAAAGCTGAAAACCAATATTGGATAGCCGTGACCTTTGGGCCCTCAGGCACTGCATCAAACTCAGACACAATTCTGTAGTGGACATGACTGCTTGGGCTGAGGAACACTTGTGTGAACACAGCTCATCACTGCATTCACAAATGCAAGTTGTAACTTCTAAACTATGTCCAGAAACGCCACCGTCTTCTTTGGGCCCAAGCTCATTTAGGATGGACTGAGGCAAAGTAGAAAACTGTCCTGTGGTCTGATGAGTCAAAATTGTAATTCTGTTTGGAAAAAATTGGCCTCAGGGCTGAAGAGGAGAGGGACCATCTGGCTTGTTATAAGTGCACAGTTCAAAAGCCATGTGCACTTGTTGCACAATGCATGGCCAGTAACCTGAACATTTGTGAAGGCACCATTATTGCTGAACGATATATGCAGGTTTTGAAACAACATGTGCTGCCAGTGGACAGCGTCTTTTCAGGGACAGCCTTGTTTATATCAGCCAGACAACGCCAATCTAGACAGGGCCAAGAACACTGAAGTCCTCTATAGGCAGGGCCAGAGCCATCTCTATTTTTTGAAGAGGCTGAGGTCCTTCAACATCTGCCAGACTGTGCCGAGGATGTTTATGATGTCTGAGGTGGCCAGCGCTATCCTGTTTGTAGTTGCATGCTGGGACGGCAGGCGGAGGGTTTGTTGAGTCTGTTAGCGTCTAACAGACTCAACAAACTGATCCATAAGGCCTGTGACGTTGCTGGGGTGGAGCAGGATTCTCTGTCGGTGGTGTCAAAAAGGAGGATGCTGTCCGAACTACACGTCACCTGCCTGTGTCCATCAAACTTTACAACTTCTCCCTCTAAGTGTCTGACGCACAGACACTTAGTCACTAGCTGCACCTTGTATTGCAATAACTGACATATGGTGAAATATTCTCTGTTTCATAAATTGGTTTACTCAGCTAAGGATATTCAATCCATTCCACCTCACTGCCAACATTCATTATTATTCATTATTATTACACTATTTATTGTTTCTGCTATTTATCATTACACCTCTGTTAATACTACTGTAAATATCCACATTCATTATCATTTATCATTATTCCTTATATGCGAGTATCCGTAACAGACAACTTCCCCTCGGGGATCAATGAAGTATTTTGATTCTTCTTACCACATTATGCAATTGTTACAGCATAATGGATTTGTAGTCAAAGAGTCTGGTTGCTAAACTGGCCTCCCTGCAGTTCTGACTTGTCACCCATTAAAAATGTTTGGCGCATTATGACAAAGGAGACCCCAAACTGTTGAGCAGATGAAATTCTACATCCAGCAAGAATGGGAAAATATTCTACTTCAAAATTGTGGCAGGCGATCTCCTCAGTTCTCAGATGCGTACAGAGTGTTGTTAAAAGAAGAGGTGATGCAACAGAGTGATAAAACTTGAGCCTTTACCAATTTATTTGAAACGTGTTGCTGGCATCAATTTCAAATAAATTCAAACTGGGCATATAATTTACCAAGAAATGTAAAGATTCCCAGTTTCAACATCTTTGTGCTATTTTCAATTAAATACGTGCTTTCAATGTTTTGCACATCATCACATTGTGTTTGGGAGTTGGTAATAACCATGTGATTGATCCAGATAGTCACAGCTATAAAAATTAAAACAGAAAGTCAGTATTTAAAATAGACATAAAGTGATTACTTTACTTTACAAGAGCTCATCCTCCCACTCTATATTTCCACCTACTGACAGGACTAACTGAGTCAGGCACTGACTGATTCATCTTTGTGATCTACTGATACAGAAAGAGTTGATTTTGAATGTGTATCAGTGTCTGACATGATGTGAACTTTTCTCTTTGTCTGATCTACAGGTTGTGAGGCCTGGTCTACAGTGAAAGGATGTCCAACAGGATGGGTTGAATTCACCTGCAAATATACAGAGACGAACAGAAACTTTCAATTTATTGATGTAGTTACTCCCAAAGAAACCATAACCATAAAAAGCACTGAGAGGAATGTGTGGGAAAACAAAGGCAGAGTTTCCCTGTACCATGATGCAAAAAATAAAAATCTCATTGTGGCCATTAAACAACTTGAACATAAGGACTTTGGAGGGTACAAGTGTCAATTTAAATCCCATGATACCAAGAAACTGATACTTGGTAAGAGACACTCAATTCACACCTCAAGCAACAGATTTAATCCAAAATTTATTCAGATATAAGATATTTTCAGTTTGGTGCCACTACTGCAAACTTCTTAAAGTTTGTAATGCACTGTAAATTCCCAAGCCTAAACATTTTATTCTGTAGAGTAACTATCAGCTTTCAGTCATTTTGCCTTCAGCTACACAAATTAAAAGAAATTGTTATCAATTTGCCATAAAGAACGAATACAAGACAATCATATTCATTACACTTTACAAAATAGAAGATAAGATGCATTTCCATCCATAGCACAGTTTTAGTGATACATTCTGATCAGCTGAGTCAGAGTCACAAATGTTTAAAACCCCATTTGTATCAAACAGCCTTTTTACCACCTTTTTATAATTTATCCTCCAAAGGATTTTTGTTATTTTCAAATTGTGTTATATGTTTAGACACTCCCTTAAATACACCTTGACACATTTTATTTTTTATTTTCTTTGAACGTTAGAAGAACATTGTAATTCTGGTTTTGAAAAGGGGCTGGAAATAAAGTGTACTTATATTTCACATTTCACATCTGTTTTAATTTACAGACAAAGACTGCCAGGGACAATTTATTCAAACTGCGTACAGAACAGCTAAAACCACCATCACATGTGATTACACAGGAAACAAATACAAGTTCTTCTGCAAACAGAACGGTTCAATCTGTGAGGATATTTTATCAACAAAATCCTCTCTGAAGTCAAAGGGGACATTCACTCTCACAGAAACCAACAGTGGCTTCAGTATGTCCATCAGTAACGTGTCCTCACATGATGCTGGTGTCTACTGGTGTGGAAAGGAAACACATGAAGGAAGTTACAGAGCTGCTCTCAGAAAGATACAGCTGGAGGTTGAAGGTGAGCAGCACACATCTGACACTTTGAGCTTTGATCTACTCATACAGATAATTTAGGTGTCTCTGAAATATGTTATTAAATACAGTCACTGATAAAAGATGCTGTCTACCTTTCTCTGTCTACAGAAATTAAAAGCTTCACAAGGTATCCAACTATTGGACAGGATCTGACATACTGGTGTCAATATTCAAATGGTGTTTATGTAAATAAATTTATCTGTAAGGGAGAAGATCCATCTATATGTCAACCTCTAGTAAGCATCGCACAGCGCAACAAAAAGACTGGGAAGTTTTCCATGGAGGATGAAAAAAGTAGGGAAAATGTCACCATAACAGTGAGAGAAGTAACAACAGACGACACTGGGACGTACTGGTGTGGAGCAGAAAGCACTGACAAAACACACAGCAACAAATTCTTCCAAAAACTGGTGATGACTGTAGGTGAGTGATGTTATTTTATTGTGTAGATGTAATCTGACCCTAGGTCAGATTGTAGGAGTGTTACTGAAATAAATCCTTACTTTGAGTTGACTATCAGTCCAATCGACTCTGAGTTTGTTTATTTATTCATCATGTGTGCAGCATGAACAGTGTATTTCCTTGAATTTTAAGCACACAACAATAATGTATTGTGTTCAATGGCATCATGGACTTAACCGTGTCCTTGTATTCTGTTTTCTCTGAACGATACGTCAGAGTTTTCTCTAACTCATTCAGTATTAAACGTGCTTGGTGACCAGCAACACACAGTCTGATCTGGGCATGTTATGCACTCACAATCAAAACTGTAGAGAGCAGAGACATGCATGCATGCTGTCATATGCTAATGGCTCTCTTTGAGACTGCCACAGTGTGCAGACTCAAAGTGCCACAGTGTGTTTTCATTTCCTGCACATGTTCAGAGCAGCATGCTGCAGTAATATAACAGCAGGACTGTATCAGCAACAGCCAAAACCAAAGTGATCAATTTTAGCCACACAGATGTAACGTTAAGTGTTTAACTGTGCATCACATTTTCTTAAAACAAGCCTTAAAACATTCCTCATTCCTGTATGTGCATTAAAAGTGTTACTGTTCACTGTAATTGTGATCCATACCATCTGTGAAGAGAACTCTCTTTCAGAAAGCAAGTAAGAACATTTCCCACAATGACAAACTATTCCTTTAAAAGGCTGAAACACAATAGACCTTATTCACAGCAGATATTTTGACTTTTCACAATAGGAAAAGAACAGGTGTTAATAACATTAAGGGTGGCTCTGTTCTATTTAAGTGTCCCAGTAAGTCGTGACAGTGAGTCAGCATGAACATCACCAGGACCCTGAAACTGAAGCAGCTAAATGGATTCAGTCTCAGTTTACATTTGTGTTTGAGGTGGATCTATTAACAAACCCATCATTTGCAAGGGAAAAAAGGATTGTTGTGTGGAATCTGAACTCTAAAGTTATTGTCTATTTTCATGCCAAATTTCTTTCATAAAAATTTCAGTATCACCGACATCATCCACAACTCTTGTTTCTTCAACTCCAACTACTGTGTCTGCTGAGAGTCGCGGTAAGAGAGCATATATATTGATATCTTAAACCTTCAGCTGCAGAAGAGCAAGTGGAGGAATGTTTTAAAAAGTTTTACAATTCAGTTTCTGTAAATTTACTCTTAAAGTCCTCAACACAGGCAGCTCTGGATAATGATGAATCGTGCCGACTGTGTTTTAAACAAGTCAGGGTTTTATTTTGTTCTCTGGTTTATCTTGCAGGTGACTCTCCGGTCATCATTACTGTGATCGTCTGTGTAGCTGTGCTGCTGCTGCTGCTGCTCATTTTCATCCTAATCTACAAACGTAAGAGTTATTACCAGTTTGTAGAAGAAACACGCAAATATTGTACACAGAAAACTACATTCACTACAGCTCTACCCTGTGTTGGGGTAATGACTGCATGACATTAGTAGTGACTACATGTGCCTGGAAGATGATCTGTTGTTGCATCTTTGCTCATTTTTAGTGGTAAACAGTGGTAGGTAAGTCCTGTTCAGTGAAACCACACTGAAAAATACAAAACCAAGAGTGCAACTTACCTGGACAGTACAGGTATATTAGGTAGAAATATTTGAGTTTGATGAGAAGTGATGAAATTAATCCACTTTATGTCTTCTGCTTGTTTAGTTCATTAGTGTTCCCTTTCTTGTCTTTCTGCCAGGATATTCACATTCAAAGAACACAAGAAAAGGAGCAGCAGCACAGAACATCAGAGAGGTCAGTGTATAAATGAAAGTCTGTGTGTGGTGGTACTTTATAGGAGGTGCTGTTATTTCTGGAAAAACTGTGCAAAAGCTGGACTGCTCATCTCTAACTGGTGCCAGATATTTCAGTATTTGGGTTATAAGTACAAGAAAACACTTCCGGTACTCTTGTTTCAGTGGTCTGATTTAGATTCAGGTGTACTACGACCTCTGATAACCTACTGGCAAACACATTTCTTCCCTGTTTTTGCGGAAGATTTAAATTGGCCATGATGTTTGAATATTCCATATGCCTAGCTAGATAACTACTAAATACTAGGGTAATGTTTAAGATGTACTGTTTCAGATGTTTATTGGTCAGGTACACTGAACTTTCAGGGCGCAGTCTTCTTGCTCAGCCTTGTTGCTCTCAGGCTACAGTCTTCACAATTTTGTAAGAACACACAGACTTTACATTTTGCTAACAAACACTCGGCCAGTTGAACAGATCGTATGAGGCTCAGGCCATATTTTAGAATTAATCGCATATCCGATTGAGGGACAATGGAGCCTTTATGGATTTTAACAAATTGTTGCACTCAGGCCTGATAAGGCTGCAGCTCTGAAGGTTATGTTGTGTGATACAGTACACAGCACACAAACCTGTGCTCGTGTTGATTTTAATGTTAACTCTCTTTTGTCTTATGCACATACACTTTTTGCTAATTTCAAGATGATGTCTTATTGTTGATGTCTCATTTCTTAAGGTGTTTTATGTCTTTAGAAGTGTTTTAGGGTAGAATCCACTATTGTTTTAATATTGATTATGTGTGGACGTGGATGTGGAAATGGTGGGTCTTACCATAAGACCCACGAGAAGAGGAGTGAGACAGGACATATTTACCAATGTAATACAGAGTTTAGGGAGTTTCAGGGATCAGCTTGGATACTATTTGTTAAATACTCAAATAAAGTTGTTAAAGTGTGAAAAGGGATTAAAACATCAGAAGCTGTTGTGGTACAGGGGACTACTGACACTGTTTGTTGTCTTTTGAATTTAATTATTTTAAAAACTTATAAAGCACAATATAACCTTTTAAAGTTAAACCTTATAAGTTTACAGGCTTGTCAGGACCCGCCCTACTCTGCTTCTGATTGGCTAGTAGTTCATAACTAGGTAGGCTACTTCGCATGTGCAACTCCCAACAAAGATCATATACATTTGAGATGCTTCACTCTGTAGCTGAAACGGAGCAGAGGGTAAAAAGAGGGGATGCAGCAATGTGCAGTATGACAAAAAGTATGTTGTTTTTTGAAAATTAAATCATGTAAACCGGTTCTGGTACAATCTGTAAATAAAATGATGAACCTGAAAATGAGCATAAAAAGACCTCTTTAAAGCAGTTATTCCTGGCTTTGTACAAACGTGCACTAGTCTGTAACATCAAATGACACCACAGTAAAACTAGAGGTCCTGGAATTAACTTGTTTATAATTTAACCAACAATGTTGCGCACATTTGAGTGTTTATTGTTAGGATTCAAAATAATGTGTTCAGACTGTATCTTTCACTCTTCCCTGGTAGGATTATGTCTACGAGGAGATACAGCAGCCGGTCCAGGCTCCAGACTCAGGAACTGAGATGAACACGATTTATGCCAATGCCAACTTTCCCACAAACCCCTCTGCCTCGCTGCATTACTCTACCATCAACTTCCAAAGCAGCTGTGACAGAGCAGATGGCGAGGCAGTGATCCTCAAACCCAGCTCTGCTGCCTGTGAATATTCAACTGTGAAGCGAAGTGAAACATACTCTACTGTCAACCAGCCGTCCAGCTCTTCAGAAGATCCTCTCTACACAACAGTCAACAAGCCACAGCAGCACTGAGCAAAGATCAGCAGTCTCAGGAATTTATGACATTTAAATAAGGTCAATATTTCAGGTTATTCACTTCTTCCATATTACAGCTGATTATTATCTTATTAGATGACTTAATTTATCACAGATACTCTACAAGGTAAATGTTTTTATCATACAACAGCGCTCCAGTGCTGAGGATGAATTGAAGAGTCTACCAGCCTCGGAGGAAGAAGCTGCTCTGTAGTCTGGTGGTGCAACACTTCTGGATGTCTTTCCAGACAGCAGCAGGGTGAACAGGCTGTGGCTGAGTGGGTACCTTTAGAATCCTTTCAGCTCTGCGCAAGCACCTCAGCTCACCAATATCACTGATGGTCAGTAGATGGGTACCAATAATCCTCTGTAGAGCCCTCTGGTCCTGGGCCGTGCACATCCCATACCAGCTGATGATGTTTTCAGTCTGTTGCTCCTCTGTAAAAAAGGACAAGTTAATTGTATATTGGTATTGTTTTTTGTTTCGGATGGGTAACAACAAATGTTTGAAGAATTATGTTTTTGAGCCACAATGAGACATTTGTAGTTTTGAGTGAAATATCTCAACTCTTGGATGGATTGCCATGAAGTTTGGTTCAGACATTTACCGTATGTCCCCCTCAAGATGAAATGTAATAACTTTGGTTTTCATCTGGTGTCATCATCAGATCAAATGTTTATTTGTTCAATCCTTTATGATGAAATATCTGCACAACTAATGACCCATGGGCTTAGTATAGTAAAAGGAAAATCATTAATGAAATGAGACGTGTTTTGTGTCATACTGTGTTTCATAAAGTACAAAACAACAGTCATTAAAATGTTGCTGATTATTTTCCACACCGGTAACAGTCTCTTCAGTTTATCTTTTATACTGAATTAACTGTATATACAGGGTTTGATTTATTTTATTTTAGTGCCATCTGCTGGTGATATCATGACTGACATTGTGGGAGATGACAATGCATGCTGCCACCTTTTCACCAAGACAACCTCTTTCTACAGAAGTACATAAATTGAAAGATGCAACTATCACATAAAAAAGTACAAATAGTAACTTTGCATGCTGAATATCTAAATAAGACATAAATAAAAGTAAGAGATTGCAGGTACAAGACCCTAGTGAAGCCTTCCAGGCATGTGCAGCTGGTAGAAAGCCTCGGGGAAGATGCAGGAGTAGGTGGAGAGATTATATATGGAGTTATATAACTAAAGTTCAGGAACAGGATCATGGCTCTCTCTCACTAATTTGACCACCTGCACCTCATTCAATTCCTCCAATCACACTACCCGTGTTTCACTCATTTCATCCACCTGTGCCTCTCTAATCCCATCACATGCTCATACGTATATAAATCCTCTCTTCTGTTTCTCAGTTCTCACATTATTCCCCCCCCAAACCCCAGTTATCTCATCTCTGCAGCCTCACAGCAAGAAGGTCTTGGCTCAGCCCAGGCCTATCTGTGTGGAGTTTGCTGACGCTCATGTGCCCATTGTAGGCACTTTGACCGGGGAAAGGGGTCAACATGGGCACCCTGACTGGTCTATGTGTACATAGCCCCATATACCACAGGCTGTGATGCTCTGTGTGTTCTGACACCTTTCTATCAAAGCCAGCATTCACTTTTTCGTCCGTTGGATTGGACCAGCTTTCGCTCCTCACCTACATCAATGAGCCTTGCCTGCCCATGACCCTCTTACCAGTTCACGTATCATTTATGGCTCTACTGCTAACTTTAACTGCAGTCAGCTAGTTAGCAGCCCTATTAGCTGACTCTAGGTGGACTGGGAGCTCAGAGTACTTGGAGGTGTGTTGTAGTTTGTTAACACCTAGCGCAGGAGCTTTGGACCGCTGAAGGAGAGCCGAGTGTGGCAGAGCCCAGTTTGGCAGAGAATACAGTACCGAGGACATTTACGTCTGGACCAGGACTCTGACTCCAGGGATGACGAAGATGCTTTTTTTTTTTATTTCTTTGTAAATCTTTGTATTGTGACGCTCTGTGGGGTCATGAGTGGGTGTGGCCTGTCTCTCTCTTTCTCTCTCTTTCTCTCTCTCCTCTTGTAGAGGAAGAGCTGATTGCAGTAACTCTGGGCACCTGGGCTAATTGCCCTGTAGAGTATTTGGGACTATCTTCCCATTTTGGCAAGGAGGCTGCTGTCGACTCCAGGTCAGACCTTCCTGCGGGCCATGGTTTCCCCTTTAGTTTGGTTTTCTTTGGTTGGACTATTGCTTTGTAGTATTTATCTTGTTTTCGCATACAACACCACCTACATACATTCATGCAACCATCATCCTGCAGAGACACTACTGAAACCACAGACTACATACCTCATACTTTCATTATGTTTGAAATAACTATAACAACTAATTTGGCTTATTTTTGTTAAATAAACATGTTTACCATGGTGTGTATCCCTTTTGTTGTGGCCTTTTGAGCCAGGTCATAACAGTAATCGTGACAGCATTTTAAAAGATGTTTGGTGGTCATCTTACTGACAGACCAGACAAAGCATGAACATGAAGAAGCATTTTGGCATCATTTTAATCCATTTATTCAATTTTACTACAGCAAAATGTCTCTTTTGGGTTCAGACCCATTTATTTGGCGAATGTGAACGAGCCTTGAGAAGGCTAGTTGGTGCTGCAGGTAGTACTGCCATAACAACAATACAGTGGCAACGATATTAAATGTTCATCCCTCATTCATTCATTCTTGTTAAAGCTACCTGCGGAACTGTTTCCAAACAAATCAATATTAAGTATAGGGAGACGCAGAGACCCACATAGACGATGACGACAGGACGCAAGTCTGTCATGTAAAGTGGTTTAGTGCGGTCGTAACATTTTGTTCATGAGGACCAGGGCTGCTGATTGACAGGAAGAGAGACCAATCGGTTCACGAACAAGCCTCACTTAAACACTAAGGGGAAGGCTGTTGATCTGATGGGACTGTTAGGACTAATACTTATGCAGTAATATACAAAACCAAAGTGACAAAGACCGAAAGAAGAAGATAGGAAGTTGGTGGGTAACACCTCAGGAAATAGGTCTGTGCAGAAACTGTAGATCAACCAACCAATGAAAACAGGAACAGACAAAACCAACTGAAGGTAAAGAGTTTGAGGATTTTAACATCCAAGATCAATAAAATGAGCTTTCTTCTCCTTCTCCTCTTCTCACTGATGACAGGTAAAAAGATGCCTGATTCTTGATTTTAGAGATTTAATAGAAAACTGTTGAACTGAAGAAATAAACCGGTTTTAATACATCCTGTGTGTGAATTCACGTAAAGTTTTGTACTTGTTTACTTTATCACAGGTCACTGTAGTCATTCTGGTTCACAAAGTAAAATTAAAAGGGTCACATAACTGTCTGCTACATTTAATACTCTTTTAAATATATTTTCTGCTTCTCACTTGGTAATTCATCCGACACAACAGTGATCAAACCTACAGTCTGTTGCTAAAATATCACACAGAAACACAGGAAGTAATGCTTTTTTGAATTTATTCATGCGGAATTGTTTTTGACAACTCAACATAATTTCTTGGCAACATAGTTTGTTGATGTTGAAGAAGGATAAAACAAAGATTGTGACTCATGTGTTGTGAGAACCAAACTCATTATTCAAAATTTCTAGCTGCAATATGCAGCAATATTCAGAACTGGACAGGACATTTACTGATATTTATATAAATATTATTGCAGAATTATAAGTGACAATACAATTAATTGGAGCTGCAAAGACTCTATGATTAAATTGGCTGAACTAAAAAACCTTTGATAAATTACCAATTGGTTGGAGTTTTTTTTTAAAAGTCAAAATTCTCTCATTCCAGCTTCTTAGAAATTGAATATCTTCTGGTGTCTTTCATCCTTTAGGACAGTAAACTGAATATCTTTGGGTTATTGACAAGACATTTGAGGAAGTCATCATAGGTCATTTAATTTTTTAGTTAATACATTAATGTTGAAAATAATGTGTTTGGTGTGCACCACCACCTTATAATTATGACACATTTACAGATGTCATGGATTACACATACACTGAAAGGTTCGCAGCTTAAAACTGCTGCCTTGCTAGTGAATGAGGTAGCTAAACAGTATTTACATTTGGATAGGTTCCAGTTTAATGTAGTATGTTTTGGCCTTTAAACAATGCAGCACCAATTTATCATCTGAATTAACACTTGGAAACAATACTTTTGTGATCTACTGATGCAGAAAGAGTTCATTCAGACTCCTGCAGTAGCTCTGGGATTATTTCAGGGTCTGACATGATATGAATGTCTTTGTCTGATCTACAGGTTGTGAGGCCTCGTCTGAAGAGTCTAAAGTGAAGGGATGCACAGACGGATGGGTTGAATTCACCTGCGAATGTCCAAAACCAAATGAACATGTTAATTTAGTTATTCACAAAAAAACAACCATACAAAGCACTAAAAAGGATGTTTGGGAAAACAAAGGCAGAGTTTCACTGTACCATGATACAAAAAAAAAAAATCTCAGGATGGCCATTAAACAACTTGAAAAGAAGGACATTGGGACGTACACGTGTAAATTTAAAAATAATGAAATCAAAAAACTGGAATTGGATGTTGGTAAGAGACACTCACTTTTATTATGTTTTTAATATAAGTTTGTAATGCACTGTAATTCCTTACCAAGCTTAAACAATTAATTTTCCTTTTAGTCATTTTTTCTTCAGCTGACAAATTTCAAGACAAGCAGAATTATTACACTAATCCATCCATAGCACAATATTGATCTATTTTGATCAGCTAAGTCACAGTCACATACTTTTAAAGCTCCACTTTTATCAAACGTCCTTTCCACAACCTTTTTATATAGTTATCCTATAATGGTTTTGTGTTGTTCTTTTCATATTTTGTTATTTGTTTAAGTAAGCATGGACAGAAAGACGTTCAATTTTTGTTCCAAACGCAAATGGGAAGTTATGGACAATCAGATTATTTTGTCACCATATGCATGCCACACACTTCTGTGAAGCTAGGAGGCTCAGCTAGCATCTCATACCAACCATTTTTATCCACATTAAACACCAAGCATCTAAATAAACTTATATCACAACTGTAATCACTATACAGGTAGTTCTAAGAACAGGTAGAACACACATCACGCTACACGTGACAATGACCAGACACAGACTGAGGAAACAAGCCAGTATATTTACATACACACACATGGGTTAACGAGCTGGGAGGGGGATCCACAGGTGAAAGACATGAGGGACTAATCAAGCACACAGACAGGTATAGTGACAGCAGTGGAAAACAGACAGAACACATGTTACAAAATAGCAGACAAGAATCTAACCGCAGACAATTACAGAATAAGACAGGAACTAAGGCAAGCACAAATCAAAACCAAAAGACAGGAAACAGTAAATAAACCAACGCTGGGCAGACTGAACACAAAAACACAACAGACCTCATCAAAATAAGATTTAACAGATCAGAATAACAACCTAATTCAGACACAATCAGACCGATCACAAATAAACTGGGAAAACAGACTGAAGCTAGGATTAAACATAAAGACATTAACTAAGTCACAGAACAGGTAACTAAGATAAGAGACAAAACAGATACTAAGTAAACTACACCATGAATAAAATAACAAGGCTAAACAACTCACAAAACTAAAGAAATCAGCCGACTAATAACAAGAAACGCAGCAATATACATTCTCAGTTGCAACCGCTGCCTTACTTTTGTTGTTTTCGCTGTATCCAAAAACACTGTTTATCTGTGTAAACGAACAGCGTCATTGTCGCGTTTCTGTGCTCATATTGAGGGAGAGAAGAAGAGTTTGTTTTGGGGGAGGTTTTGATGGTTTATTGCATAAGATATATAGCTTTTTTACCAGGTGAAGATGAAAATATCATTTTCCTTTATTGCATCTTCATTTACACTTTAATAGAAAAATAATGATAATAAATTTAACGTTGATCCATATTCCTTACGTTTAACTTACCAAAGACCAGAATTATGCATATAGGCCTAATGGTTGAGGAGTTATTACTGAATTATGGTGGGTATGTTATTTTAGGCGTTTTTCCTGAAAATAGGTGGCAAGGTCTGTGCACCTTTGAAGAACATTGTAATTCTGGTTTATAAAATGGGCTGGAAATAAAGTATACTTTTTTTCACATTTCACCCTCTTTAAATTTACAGACAAAGACTGCCAGAAACAATTTATTCAAACTGCGTACAGAACAGCTAAAACCACCATCACATGTGATCACACAGGAAACGAATACAAGTTCTTCTGCAAAGAGAAAGGTTCAATCTGTGAGGATATTTTATCAACAAAATCCTCTCTGAAGTCAAAGGGGACATTCACTCTCACAGAAACCAACAGTAGCTTCAGCGTGTCCATCAGTAAGGTGTCCTCACGTGATGCTGGTGTCTACTGGTGTGGAGTGGAAACACATGAAGGAAGTTACAGAGCTGCTCTCAGAAAGATACAGCTGGAGGTTGAAGGTGAGCAGCAAACATCTGACACTTTGAGCTTTGATTTTCTCACACAGATGACTAAGGTGTCTCTGAAAATTGCTGTTAAATACAGTCACTGAAGTGCTGCTTGTCTGTCTCTCTACAGCTACTATTACCAGATTCACAAAGTCTCCAACTGTTGGACAGAATCTGACATACTGGTGTGAATATCCAAATGGTGCTCTGATAAACAAATTCATCTGTAAGGGAGAAGATCCATCTATATGTCAACCTCTAGTAAGCACCGCACAGCACAACAACAACACTGGGAGGTTTTCCATGAAGGAGGACAAAGACAAGAGAAATATCACCATAACAGTGAGAAACGTAACAACAGACGACACTGGGACATACTGGTGTGGAGCAAAAAGCACTGACAAAACACGCAGCAACCCATTCTTCCACAAACTGGTGATGACTGTAGGTGAGTGAATTTGTTTTTCTGTATGAATAACTGGTATCATCAAAAGGTGTTTGAATAACATGCCGATTTCTTAAGTCATTTGGCATGGTGTTCCAATGCAATTTTTTTGTATCTCGTGCGTCATTTCCCTTTATTTACGTTACGTTACGTAAGTTAGCATTCTACATCGTTGGCTACATAGCGTCAGCTACGTAGCCGGTCAACATTCATAAAGTCACTGATTTAGGTTTAGGTACTAACATTTCTGATGGTTGTGGTAAGGGTACGGGCTTCGGGGGACTGTCAACAAGTTATTTTGCTAACTGGGGGTGGCGATGTATGTTAGTCCCCAAGTGCATGCATGGTGAATAAATAAACCCTTCTTCAATGGATCTCCACCAGAACAATGATTCACCATGGGTAAAGCAAAAGAAGCAGTAGAAGAATCAGGGTTGGTTTTCCATGTGGTGAAGTGCAAAACGTACTTGGCAGCAATAGACGTTTTTGTTAAAGAAGACACTATTATATCACAGAAGGAGAAACACAGGTGTAAATAATAAAATTCATGAAGACTAAATTCCATTTAGCTGCTTCAGTTTCAGGGTTCTGATATTGTTCATGCTGACTCACTGTCACAACTTACTGGGACACTTACAGAGAACGGAGCCGTCGTTAATGTAACATCTGTGTTTTTCCTGCAATCAGACATATTTCACTCACAGCTGAAACAAAAATGTCTTCATTGTTCAAAAGACACAACTGAGCAGAGGTGGAAATAAATGAGTTACAATTAATCAGTTAGTTTTTTGTGTACTTTTTAAAGTAGTTTTTATATTCTGTAGTTTTACTTTTACTTAAGTATGTTTTGATTGTACTCTATTTTGCTACATTTTAAATCACGTCCGTCTGATTATGACTCTTGCTGCAAGCATGTAGGTCTTGTGCTGAATGTGACAATATCAGGCTTTGTTTATTCTTATTAATATAAAAGCCATTTTGCTACAATTAGGCTTCACACAAAGGCTGCGGCAACCTCTGTACACTGGCAAACTGACCTTTCTCTTCTCTGGAGATATAACGCCTGGTATAGAGGTTAAGGAGCTGGATACTATGTTGTGCCAGACATATTCTACTTTAACAAGAGAGTTTTGATATACTCCTTTGTCAATTTTATTATTTATTTAATTATATATTAATTTGTTACTGGGACAGACTGAGGGGCAGAAATGGGGATGGGGGACACAAACATCACACAACAGACACCACAGAGAAAGGACAACACCTGCAAGAGAACAGGAGACAAACAGACGAACAGCAGCAATAAACAGCTGACATAAGAAAACAACTGCAACGAAACAGTCAAGCAAAATAAATAAGCAACACAGCACAGCCACGAGAGCTGGAATAATAGCAATTCATTTAAATAAATAACTGCCACGGGATATAGTTGTTATTGCGAGTGGAACGCCACAACAGCGCCACACTGACCCCTGCGGCAGGCAGGAAGAGAGCTCGAACTATCCGAGACCACATGCCCTGAGGACAACCATGCCCTGTCCCGAGGGAGAACAGCAGAGAACAATGCTGAGGAGCACCCAGCCCAGCCAGAGGCAACCCGACCCCAAGTGCAGGAACCACCTGACCGAGCAGACCGTTCTCATCTCAGGGCGTCCAATACCTACGCTTTCATAAAAAGTGACAAAGCATAGTCATTTGTAGTGACAAAGTAGTAGTTGAAGACGCTCTGGGTGCGAAGTCTTAAAGGTGTTCAAAGCCCCCCAAAGCCCCCTACCCTTACCATAACCATCAGAAATGTTAATGCTATAAGTCAATGACTTTATGCATGTTGACCGGTTAACCCTGCAGCTCACGGCCGATGTGCTAGCAGGTAACAAGTAGCAGGTAGGTAATGATGCACTGAGATGAGAACGCATTGGACCCAGACATAAGCAAAAGCTCAAAGAGTGTTCTCCTAGAGCAGAAGCCAAAGACCTGAACCGCAAGCTCCCACAGATCCCAAATGAAGCTCAGCACAGCCTGAACCAAAACCCACCAACCTCCTCCCCTAGCCAGGACCCCCCCGGCAGTCAGGTTTTATAGCTGATCCATGATGATCGTGGAATGAAATGAATGGCAAATTAGCCAAAAAGACATAGGTGCATGATGGTTGGCACTAGCAGCCTGCTGGTAACAAGTTATTTATTATAACACTTATAATTATAATAATATTACCATCAGTTTGAATGTAAATAGGGATATGACTTAATATATGGTCCTGTGTTTCCCATTTTCCCAGTCCAATGCCGCCCGCCATAGCCTAATCTGTTGCGCCACAATTTCATAATAAAGAGAAGACATTCTTAAAACTTCTCATAAAAACGTAATAATGTTGTTTTTCGCCAATGCTTTGGCAAAGTATCTGTCCAACCGAATTAAAATCAAAAGCGTGACATGGCTTTGTGCACTTTTCAAAAGAAAAGTATAAATAAGATATTAAATTAGTATAAATAAGTTATTTCAGTCCTGGCAAGAGCATCCTATTGGACCTGCTTAATTATTTGCAAAAATCACCATCAAAATTATTTTGATCAATTATGAGATCACAATTAAATGATATGATATACTTTGGAAATATTGACCTTTAAAAATAAATTGAACAGTGGATTTCCTAGAAGTAGAGTACAATTCAATTGAAAAAGCATACAAACAGGAAATGTAGTAATGTGTTCAGCAGCATCATATCCTTTTATTCCATTTTCTCTCCATGATACATCAGACTTTTCTCAGTATTGAACGTACTTAGTGTCATCACTGTAGAGATCTGATACATGTGTGAATGCTTCCATATCCTTATGACTCTATTTGCATGAGTTTTGGGACTGCTACAGTGTGTAACGACAGTCTAACACTAACAGCTGAATTGGTTTTACCTTTCTTGTTGACCAAAAGCTCTCTGCCCATCCTCTTGGCTCCATCTTAACAAATATGCCACATAAAACACCAGATTATTAACCAGTCAAAACAAGAGCGTCATTGCAAATTAGAATGCAGCACAAAAAATCATAATTATTGAAAGCCAAACTCATAATTGAAAGTAGCAGAAGAAATGAACCCTTTCACTGTATGTGATGAAACAAACTGTTCTTTATTATTTATTAAGCTCTGTAACTTGCTTTGTAAAGAAGCCACTTTGAGAAAGCATTTGACTTTTTTTTCAAATGGCAGCCAGCAGTGATATCCTGTGACTGACTGGCTCAATATGCAGTAAGATCGCTTGTTGCTATTTTAGCTCTTGTTTTCATTTCCTGCACTTCCATGTTCAGAGCAGCTGCAGTGATGTGACAGAATTGTGTTAGGTGTTAATAACCGTAATGATGACAAGTGTCCCAGAAGCAGCAGAATGGATTTAGTCTCATTCATTATACTTTATTTTTTTTAATTATTATTTAGTTTCCTATTTTCATTGTGTTTCAGAACCAGTAGAGTGCAATTTTAAAAATGTTAATATTTGTGCTTGAGGAGAATCTATTAACAAACCCATACTTCACAAGAAAAATGATAAAATAAGATTGTTGAAAGAAATCTGAGGTGTAAGTTTGTTTTTTTTTCAGTATCACCAGCCGTATCATCTACATCATCGACATTTCTGGTTTCTTCAACCCAGTCAAATACTGCGTCTGCTGAGAGCCGTGGTAAGAGAGCACGTTCGATATCTTAAACCTTAATAGAACAAGAGGAGGGGGAGGAGGAATGTTTAAAAGCTGTATTACAACATGTTGTGTTTTAAAGTCTGTAAAAGATTTTAACACAAAAGATTATTCATAGAAGATGTTTCGACTTGACACAGCAGGAAAAGCACAGGTGTTAATAAAATCATTAACGACTACTCTGTTGTTTTTAAGTATTCAGTAAGTCATGACTGTGAGTCAGCATGAACAATATCAGGACCCTTAAACTGAATTTCAGTCTCATTCATTCAATTATTTTCACCCGTACTTTTTCTACTTTGACATGATCAAATGTTCATTTTCATCAAAGTGGTATTGCCACACATTCACTCAACTAATTTGGTTTCCTATTTTCATTGTTTTTCAGAACCAGAGTCAGAAATTGAAACTAGAGTCTAATTCTTGCCAATTTTAATTTATTTTTTTTTCAGTATCACCAATAGTATCACCAACATCATCCACAGCTCCTCTTTCTTTAACCCAGTCAACTACTGTGTCTACTGAGAGTCATTGTAAACAGCATGTTTGATATCTTTAACCTTCTGCTAGAGGAGAGCAAGAGGAGGAATATTTTAAAAACGTTAAAGTTTCTGTAAATAACCCTTTTAATTACTCAATACAGACAGATCTGGATGATGGTGACTCATACTGACTGTGTTTTGAGCAAGTCTGGATTTTTATTTTGTTATCTGGTTTATCTTGCAGGTGGCTCTCAGGTCGTCATTACTGTGATCGTCTGCGTAGTTGTGCTGCTGCTGCTGCTGCTGTTTGTGCTAATTGTGATCCTTTTCTACAGACGTAAGAGTTATTACCAGTTTGCAGAAGAAACACGCACATTTTGTACACAGAAAACCACATTCACAACAGCTCCATCCTGTGTGGGGGTGAAGTCTAAAAAGTCTTTTCCTCCTGGAGGAAATGGTTTATGTTTTTTCTAGCTTCCATCTTTGCTCATTTCTGATTATAAAAAGTAGTAGTTAAGTCCTGTTACATGAATCCACACAGAAAAATACAAAGTCCAGAGTATAACTTTGCTGGACAGTACAGGGAGACTATGTAGATAGAGAGACTGTGTGTCGATTTGATAAAAAAAAGGGTGAATTAATCCACTTTGTGTCCTTTTGTTTGTTTATTTTTTTGTTGTTCTCTTTTTATTTCTGCCAGGACGTTCACATTCAAAGACCACAGGAAAAGAAGCAGCATCACAGAACATCAAACAGGTCAGTGTCTTGTCGTGCATGCACGTAACCCTGTGTAATCTGACCAGCAGCTAAACACCTTCCCTAATCAAGCACTGAAGACTGGGATCGTCGTAAATCAGCTTATTAACAGAGAAAGGGTGAAACTGAGAAATGAAAAAACAATTACTAAAGTTACCAAAATATAAATGAGTCTCAAGCACCATACAATGATAATTGTCTATAGACGTAACAGACAGAAAATATAACTTCACTATATAACCACATAGCTACAATGCTGTGCTAGTACTGTAGCTAACATGTAATGTAACAAAGCTAACGTAAAGGCAACAAGGCAACTCAAGTTATACAGATTATGGAAGATAACCTATATCCATCCATCCACCGTCAACTGCTTTTCCTATGTACAGGGTCGTGGGGGGGCTGGAGCCAATCCAAGCGTACATTGGGCGAAAGGCAGGGTAAACACTGGACAGGTTGCCAGCCAATCGCATGGCCAAGATAACCTATACTGCTTTCTAAATGAACTGAAATTTACTTACATTTAGCACAACATAAAATATAAGAAGCCAACTAGCTTACTGAAGCATACTAACATGGTTCCATCCTATTAGCTATCAGTCATCATCAGCATAGTACCAATAATCGAGAGAGATGCAAGAACAGTATGTCAGCACACATTTTCCATTCTGAGAACGCTACCAAAGGCACGGAACAGAAGATCGAACTGGATTGTAAGAGCCAAATGAAGACAAACCATGAGGCTGTCCTGCTCCCGATTAACTTCCTGACTGAGTCACAACACCGGTCGCTGTCTTCTCACACCCTGCAGAAAGCGTATCACGAGGGGCTGGGTGAAGATTGTCCTGTCACCAAAACCCATGACAGAAGAGATAGCTGCAGTGCGACTGTCCCTTCTCCATCAGACCTTGCAGGAAAGACAAAACGGATCCCACCGAACAGGAAGACAGGCGCTTGCGAAACGCATCCAGTGGGCAGTTGGTTTTTGTGCCAGTTGGCAAACAGATCTACCTCTGCTCTCCCGAAGCGAGCTCAGATGTGCTGAACCACATTGGTGTGCAGTCTTCACCCGCTCAGTTGGGGGCCAGCCCTCGACATGAGGCCAGCCACCCCCTTTCTCCAAAACCCGGGACGTGAAGGGCTTTCAGAGACAGCAGGTGTTCTGATGCCAACGGCCATAGGTTCACCGCCAACGCCAATAGAGACACCCTGCCGAGCAGCACCCGCTCTCTGCCAGACAGTGAGAAGACCCCCAGAACCGCGGGTCGTCCTGCACTAAAGTTGAAGGTGGGGGGAGGGGAAGTCACCGTGCATCACTTTTGCTTCTTGAGGTCCAGAGGGAGCACCTGATGAACTGCTGCCCTGAGGCCCAACAGCAGCATCACTGGCAGCGCTGTCACATCTATCCCCTGCTGCAGACTACGCTGTCATCTTTTTTCCATATTTTTCCACCAGCGATCCGTTGTCATGGCAGCTGGTGAGCCGCTTGCTTGTTAATGACGCAGCCTATCAAACAACTAAAACAACCAAAACCAACATCTGAACCCTGTGTGTTCAATGCTGCTTTAACATTACCTGGTCCAGGCTTGTAAAATATCCACCGTGTAGCGTCATTACAAGTTTTTTTCAAGTCTGTGTGAATGAACACATGCACATAAGACGACCGCTACCGTTGCATGTTTGTTATGAATATTTAACCTACAGTGGTCAGATTTATATTCAGGTGCGTTACGGCCTCTGATAAACAACTGGCAAACACATTTAATCCCAGTTTTCTAAAAAGATTCTAAAGAGAAACCCAGGAGGATAACTTGTAAACAAAACACTCCCTATAAAGTATTATACTGTTACCACATGAGATAATGATCAGAAACCCACTGCAGAGTAGCTACAGCAAGATGTACTGTATTTCATTTCATATTTATTATTTCACTTGAACGAGGAGGAATAAAGTTGTTAAACTGTGAAAACACATTAAAACATTTCAGAAGCTGGTGTGGCACGGGACAACCAACACAGCTTTCGTTCTTTTATTTTATTTGCTTTTATTTTAATTAAAGTACCTTTTAAATCAGTTACTCCTGGTTTTGTACAAACCTGTGCTGATGTTCGCATTAGTCTGTAACACAAAATGACACCACAGTAAAACTAGAGGCCCTGGAAATAATCTTTCCAAAAATGAATCTGTTTGTAATTCAACCAACAATGTTGAGGACATTTTATATACTGAGTTCTTATCATCTGGATTCAACACGATTTGTTCAGACTGCATTTTTCTTTCTTCCCTGGTAGGATTATGTCTACGAGGAGATACAGCAGCCCGTCCAGACTCCAGACTCAGGAAATGAGATGAACACGATTTATGCCAATGCCAACTTTCCCACAAACTCCTCTGCCTCGCAGTATTACTCTACTGTCAACTTCCAAAGCAGCTCTGACAGAGTTGGTGGTGAGGCAGTGATCCTCAAACCCAGCTCTGCTGCCTGCGAATATTCTGCTGTGAAGCAAAGTGAAACCTACTCTACTGTCAACCAGCCGTCCAGCTTTTCAGAGGATCCTCTCTACGCAACAGTCAACAAGCCACAGCAGCACCGAGCAAAGATCAGCCCTGTTAGGAATTTATGACATTTAATACATGTATGGCCAAAATTTCAGGTCATTCATGAGTGTTATGGCAGAAAATTGTGTCCTCTTACATTTAATCGTTTATGTATGATCTTTTAATATTATCATTATTATTATTGATATAGATATGTATTGTGTTTTTATCCTTAACCTTTCCTCTCCTATACTCCTTATGTTGGTCTGTCAACATTTACTAGGGTTTAGGTTAGAGCTGTGAGATTGTTTTGATGTTTTCCCCCCTCTTGTTGTTTCTCTCCTCTCATTGAATGTTCATTCAAGGCTGAGAGAGGATCTCTGTTCCCAAAAACATAGAAACCTAGACTGTGTAAATGATGATGCATCCCTTTGCTCGGGGCCAGACGCCCGATGCTGCCCTATGCTGCAGGTCTCTGGACCAGCTTTATATGTGTTTTAGTACTTCTGTTTATTCTCTTTTGTTAAATAAATTCTTCAAAGACAACGGTTGGTTGTTACACAATTCTTTGCTCAACCCCTCACCAGGAATATAATTTCCACGACAATGAGGTCATTCAGGGATGCAGAGCGGAGGATGAATTAAAGAGTCTACCAGCCACGGGGAGAGAAGCTGCTCTGTAGTCTGGTGGTGCAACACTTCTGTATGTCTTTCTAGACAGCAGCAGGGTGAACAGGCCGTGGCTGGGTGGGTACTTTTAGTATCCTTTGGACTATGTAGGCACCTCAGCTCACCAATATCACTGATGGTCAGTAGAAGGGTACCAATAATCTTCTGTAGAGCCCTCTGGTATGTATCAGAACCAGCATTCACTTTTTCAAAAATTTTGTTTTTGGCCCTTATCAAAGTGCTCAAATCCTCATTCTTGTCCAACACATCAACTTTGAGGACACAATTTTCACCTGCTGTCTAATATATCCCACCCACTGACAAGTGCCATGGTAACGAGATAATCCGTGCTATTCATTTTGCCGTGTTATGGCTGATCAGTTTCCATGTCTATGGTATCATATACGACACGATTGCTAACTTGAACTGCAGTTAGCTCAGTTAGCAGCCCTAGTAGCTGACTCTACCTAGACTGGGAGCTCAGAGTACCTGGCGCAGGAGCTTTGGACCTCTGAAGGAGAGCCGAGTGTGGCAGAGCCCAGTTAGACAGAGAACACAGTACCGATGGGATTTACATCTTTACCAGGACTCTGACTCCAGGGACGACGAAGATACTGGCGGGTTCAGGAGAGGAGCATGTTTGTATTGAATGACTTGTATATAATGGTATCCATCATCCATTGTGTTGATAAGCCTACGAGGATTTTTCTTGTGAAGCTGGAAGTAATTTATTTCCATGTTATGAACAATGAGATGTGTGTGTGTGTGTGTGATTTTATACTGTGTTTAAATAAATTAACAAAATGTTGACTCTCCTTGCTGGTTTTTCAGACGCATTCAGAATCATTACCGTTTCTCATATTACAGTAGCACGCTTTGTGCCACTTGTAAAATATGGTTTTGTATTTCTCTGTATTGTATCACAGTGTTAACAAGGTTACTTATAAAATTCTTTCTCAGCCCTGGAACAAACCATTTTCTGATGGCTTGACCTAATGACTTCTAGTCGACTAGAAAAATCTTTTGTCGGGGGCAGCTCTAATTCAAGAAGATGTTATAACAAAACAGATATGGCTATCTATCTAATCCACACAGACAAAATAATCAGGAGAAATTATTTGACATGGCCTTAAGTCAGAGGTCACAATCAATCTGGTACTCACATATTGAAGGATTCTCCTTTAATTTAGTTTCTTCTGCAACCTTTGTTATCATATTTTTGTTCTACTTCAGTAACGCCCTGCTTCACACATTTATACACTAAACTGGTGGTGGAAGAGAAAGTCGGTTAGTTTCTTGCTTAAGGGCACATTTGCCACCTGTGTACTACTCGAAATATAGTCTTTCTTGTCGCAAGACCTTTGCTCTAACTTTTAGATTCCCCATTTTGACTCCAGGTCTACTTTATTTTTTTTAGCTTTCAGTATTATCCTTATTCCGAAGGATATACAATGGTCAAGTCATAACATTAACTCACAAGAGGAGATGAGACATGAAATTGGGTTTACGATAAGATTTTAACATTATTGTTTAGAAATATTCACTTCTGAATTATATGAAAATTTTGAGCATTAAACCGTTTCCAACAATTTCCTGCATTCAGGTTCAATTTTTCTACACCACATTTATAGTGGAAACATTTTTATGTAAAAGGGAAAAAAAATTCAGGCATTAGCACGGGCGTTTTTAGTGATTTGGAGGCCATGGGCAAAGAAACACATTCATGTTCATGTTCCAGGAACTCTAATGTTTTTATTTGCTTTACCTGCTACACAAGTGTCATAGTCAGAGAGCAGTCTGTGGTAGAAATGTCTGCAGTGTCAAACTATTTTAAATTGGAAAACAAAAGCAATCCTAAAGCCACTTGTTATGTCTGCAATTGATTTATTAAATTAACTTTTTAATTAAATTTTTTGGGATTAAAAAGTGGATTTATCTTCACTTGCGCAAATAAACCTCTCTGCTCCAGTGAGCCACTGAGTTGCTCTGTGATACAACTTTATAAAAAAAACAAGAGATTGCTTAGAGAAAAGTAAGCGAGGAAGTTTGGATGGATACGTAGTTTTGTTAGGGTTAAATTAATTTTAAAATGTGCTTTGGCTCTGATCCAACTGCCTCTGTCTGTCTGTAGGCAATCACCAGGTTGGAGTCTTCTCACCCACGGCACTGTCTGATTGGTTATAAGTTGTGAATAATAGCAACACTCACAAGACATTTGCTCCTGTGAACAGCAGAACTGTGTGTCGAAAGGAAGGCAGCCGATATTACTGAAGCTGCAATAAACATCACAATCTGATGATCTGTTTCTATGATGACAAGCAGCGCAGTGTCCCTGTTACACCAGTAAACATGCCCGAACACACAGCTATGAGGCTTTATGACATTTTTGAAAGTGACACCTTTTAAATCAGTCTCTCTCCCCTTACCCACTCACTGCACTCAGAGTTAAACACAGCTAGCATCTGTCGTTTCTGCGTTTTCATTGCCAACACGTTCTCACTCCCGACTCGTCACATGTTGACGCTCGGTTAAGGCCCTGTGGCGTCGCTTGTTAACGACCTGGGTAGCCCTTTAGCGTAATTTTTTGACGTGTAGTTAGCAACGCTGAGCAACGACAAATATAAGTTAGCAACAAATATGCAACGTCCGGATAGACTTTCAAAGTAAAACAAAACATCGAAAATGGCACGTTATTAAACTCATGAAACATTGATATTTGGCACTAAAGTACTTTCATCATTTTGATCAGCTTGTTGTAATTTTACTAAAGCAAAATGTCTTTTTTGGGTTCATACCGCTGTAGTAAACCAGATTATAGGCAAATATTTGAGAGTTGTGTTTACTTGTGTTTAAAGAGCTGCGTTCAGTACTACCAATTTTATAAGGTACCTCAAAACGCCAACACTGGAATACAGTGAGTTCACTCAGGTAACTCAGGCAAAGGCTGCACGCCTGCCCCGAAGCAACACACAAGAGGTTACTTTAAAAAGGAGGGAGAAATCGCAAGGTCTGTAATGGGGATTACACATAGGGATCACTTTAAGCACAAAGTTTCCATTAAACGGAGAGCAGACTGCTATTTGCTATTTACGTGTTTCCAGTAAAAACACATTTTTTGCAAGTGGTTTTCTTGCCGCTTTGGCTTGTGTCGACCCTGGGGTTGAGTCAACTAATGAGGCTGTGTTCGGTCCTTGGAGGCTGCTGAGCGCAGTTTCGTGGCCTGCTCGCCCGCCACGGCTCCCCACAATCATTCCCCACCAGGTCCCACCACCACTAGACTGAAAACCTCCAGTGCTTGAGTATCTATCTGTCCATCAGGGGACTCAATAAATCACAGAGTTGAGGCAGAGCAGCTGGGAAACATAAATGAATGCAGGCCCCCCAGTGCAGGATGATTCACCAACATTTTAGTTTTCCAAGAAATGACACACTCTAAAATGTCTACAATACCTACAAAACAACATTTTTTGTCATTGATGGACCAGATCCTGCCATATGGCTTATAGACCTAGTGCAAGGCATCATATAAAAACATTTAGGCCTAAACATCGACTTTGATTTCATGGGAATGGGACATTTTATAATTGTATGTTTCTCTAAAAATCCACTGACAACACATCTTGTCTTTATTTGAGTATTTGGTATTGAAGTAATCCAAAAGTAACAGGTTACATTACTTTTATTTTCTGGTACTTGGATTACATTACTGATGACATTTTTTAACAAGTAATTAGTAATTGTACCGGATTACATTAAAGTAACCCTCCCAAGCCTGGTTGTCGAGTCTCTTTGACATTTCCCTGGATTATTCTGCTTATTTTGGATTAATGCTCCTTACAAATGTTTTTTTCTTGTTCTTTGGATTTGTTATATAAAACCAAAGTGAAAGAAGGACGAGGAAGTAGATTAGAAGTTGTGTGTGTAACATCTAAGGAAACGGTCGGTGTAGTGTCACGGCTGTCGCTGTCACCTTTGTGTTTCCCCTTTTTCTGTCTCTCTACCAAGTAGGCTGTGTCCCTGGGGAATGAAGACCCGCCTACTTCCTGGTTTCTGGGGTGCTGACATCAGTCCCGCCCATTGGTTCCCTCTGTTTCCACTCAACCAATGGCTCGTCACCACATTAATTACCTCCTGCTCATAAGGAGAATCCACCTGTTGCTCCAGGCAGCTTGTCACCACCTATTGACTTGTGTGCCGCTGGTATTGACTGCATACCCTGCCTGTTAGCTCTACTTTGTGTTTAGTGGAACTATCCACATTCCTTGCTTATTAGCTGTACATTGTGTTTAGGGAAACCATTTGCATACCTTTGTTTGTTAGCTCCACATTGGGTGCAGTGGAGGAATTCACTTAGTGTTTTGTTACTATTTGTTAGTTTTCACCAGGTGGAGTGGGTGCTGTGCTCTTTGTGTTCTTTTGTAGCAAGAATCAACCCGGCTTAAATAGATAGATAGGTACAGGCCTCCTTTTGAGGACCTTTTTTATTTTAACTTGGTTTGTTATTTTCGCAGCACCCTCGTCCACCCTCCTTTTGTTTATTGTTACCTGTCTACATCTCTTCTGTTACCAATAAAAGTTAC